TCCTATCTTGTAAAGCTTTATATTTATTCGGTCAGAAATTACTTGTGTGCAACCTTTGTAAAATCATTTTTTTTAAATTCTGTAAAGTCATGGCATTTCTTCATTCAATTAAAAAAAGTTTTCTTTTTTTCTTAATCTTGCCTTAAACACTAAAAATACTGCTGAAAGTATGAATATGATATTTTAAATACATTTTTCACATGGAATGAGTTTATTGGCTTTGTTTTGCTTTATGTGTTTCTCTAGTATGAATCTAGTTTCCACATAAGCAAATCTTTCCATAACACAGGAGATCCCATCGCTGTCCTGTGGCCTCACGAGTGAGGTGCTACATGTTGTTCGTGTCCCTAGGAAAGTGTGTTTGTGTGTGCAGGAGCGCGGGGGTGTGGGGGGGTGATTACATCAAACGTTCCCCCTGAAGGGTTGGTTGCAGCCCGGGGGTCCGGGGCTTCCTGGGCTGGGATTGGTAAAAAAATATTTTGTAGGGAAACAGTAGTAGAGTTGGCTGTTGAGTAGTGTAATAATGTTTGGCATAGCAACTACTGTCTTCACAGAGAGGGAACCACCTGCCACTGGGCATAACCAGTGCCAGTGTCATCCTCGCCTATGAAATCATTCCCCAGCGGATGTTTTCTGCTGAGATTGTTGTTGTTGAAGTTCCTCGGAGGAATCGATGCATGTCATATTACGTCATAGTGAGATTTTGTCTGCTCACCAAGGAGATTCGAGCAGACATATCCCAGCATAACACATATTTCTGCTATTAGAGCTTTTCCTCCTTTCTGCGTATGTCTGGAAACATCGAATAAATCAACGTCTACTTGGCATTCACCAGGTGAAGATGATATGTCATCGTTACACAAAGATGTGGAAAAGATGGAGTGACATAATGAAAGATGAGCTGCGGCGAGAGAGGAGGAGACAGATGAAGAAAGACTCTGCCTGCAGGTGATTCAGGTCAGCGCTCTCACAGATGAGCCGCTGCCACGGTTACTATCTCTATGGAAACTAGGAGGTGTTCCGTTGCGTTAGAACTGCCATCCTGATGTTTTTAATGAACCACTAGCTGGTGAATGCCAGCTCATTGATTGAGTCCATGCAGGAGAATGACATGCCTTTTCAGTTGCATCTTCATAACCGGGGTGGAAAAATATGAAACAACAATTATTTTTTACTTCCTAATGTGATGTATTTTAAGTTAACAAGATATTCATGAAAGGAAAAATGTAGGGTTTTATTAGATTTTGCCCATTGAGAATTGTTTGGTAAGGGCTTGATGATGTCATCTGAAAAGGGCAGTTGATTGAAAGGTGGAGTTTTTTTTATTAAAGGGGTCATATGATGCTTTTTTAAGGGGGGTGTGGCAGAGTCTTAACTTTGATAAAGAATATCTCTTTGGTTTTGAGACTTTAGTCTTTGCAACTTCAGGGATCTTATCTATTCATGAACAACTTGTAACACTCCAAAGAGAAAGGAAAACTTGAAATCGCATCATATGACCCCTTTAATAAATATACAGTGACAGACATTTTTTGTCACAATGTTGACAACATATTTGTATTAAAAAGGTTTTAATTTAATTTTTTACTTTAATCACCAATGTCGATGCCAGTGTAAAGAAAAGGGTGAGCTATTGGTAGTAATATTATATAATTAAATATAATATAATATAATTGATATGGGTAATTAAATTGCTGTAATTAAATGACCACTTATTTAATACATTATTTCGGTGAAATATATTAAATATAGTTAAAAATATAAAATGTACATTTATTAATTGCCAAAGCTGTTTTTAAATATAATCAATGTTTCATTAATGCATTAATACATTTTGGTCTGTTAATCAATGCCAGTAATGTCAAACATAGCCATATATAAGCCAATTAATGCTTAAATATTACATATATACGATAAAAAATAAATAAAAATAAGTTCATGCATTGTAATTGTAATAAGTCTCTTGTCCTCACCAAGGCTTTGAAATAAAAATTCAGTAAAATCAGTAATAATGTGAAATATAGTTACAATTTAATATATATATTTATTTAAATTTAATATAATGTAATTTATTCCAGGCTTAATACTCTCATGATCCTTCAGAAATCATTTGAATACGATGATTTGGTGCTCAAGTAACTTTTCTTCTCATTATCGATTTTGAGAGCAGTTCTGCTGACAAATATTTCTATGGAATTCTTTTGTATCGTTATAAATGTGTTTTTACTTCATTCTTCAATTTATTGTGTCCTTATTCAAATTAAAGTATTAATTTCTTTATAAAAAATCTTACTGACCCCAAAATTTGGAAAAGTAGTTTATATTTGACATATTTCCAAAAGCATTACCATTCAGAATGTTATGTAGCACATTTATTGTCTTTTCTTTACATTTGGAGGATATGAATACTAATTTGAGGATAGGGGCCTTCTGTTGCACTTTGCATTAATTTCCTGTTTTCTGACATATATAAATTAGCCTATGTCTGTTAAAAACTGGAGGAGATGTCTGTTAAAAACTGGAGGAGTGAATTGGCAAAAATGTGTTAAGAAATTCTGTGATAAGTAGATTTCCTCTGGTATTTCCTTCCTGTGCGGTGCCTTCATAAAATAGCCACATACTAATCTGAGCCTAAATTAGATTTGCATGTGTATGTCTGCGTGTTCATCCAACCATTACTTGGGAAAGTGCATGCATGTGTGTGGCTGTTTGTTGACTGATACTCTTGGCTTAGATGGAGACTTAAGATTGTGTGTTATCTCTGAATGAGTGGTTTGAGCGAGCAGGCTTGCTTCTGGCTCTAATCTGATTCTATAAAGTGCTTAGGAGGATCTTTGTTTCCATCTGGTGGTTTTCACTCTGTTACATCACTGCAGCTGGCAGTTTGTGTGTGTGTGCGTGTGTATAGAGGGAGGAGCTTAATACTGGATCCTCTGATGTCAGAGACTCGCATAGTAACACACGTGCATTGGACATGCACTGCCCCGAGCCCTGTCTCTCAGTTTGATGCCTCCTGCTCTTGGGTTTTTAAATGGGTGACGCTCTGGGAAGTGAATGAATATGATAATGAACGTTTTGAAATTTGTATTGCTTGAGTACTTGTACAAACAGCATAATTGTGCTGACTGAATGACTGGTCGTTCGCAATCAAAGAAAGGACGCAATGAAGGACATATGAAAAATGTATGAAAGAATTTCTCAACCGTCCAATAAATGACCCCATACTGAAACTTTATCTAAAGCTATGCCAACTATGCCAAGATTCAGAGAAAATGGAGTGTGATATTGACATCAAATTAATCAAAATTCCATCAAAAAACTTTTTAGACTATTAACATATACAAACATATACCATGGTACACTCTAAAAAATGCTGGGTTAAATACAACCCAGTGCTGGGTAAAATAGGGACAAACCCAGCAATTGGGTTGTTTTGGCCCAGCGGTTGGGTTACTACCCAGAAGGTTGGGTTAAACATTTAACCCAACCGCTGGGTCAAAACAGCCCAATTGCTGGGTTTGTCCCTATTTTACCCAGCACTGGGTTGTATTTAACCCAGCATTTTTTAGAGTGTAATAGAGCAGATTATTTCAGATTTGCCCTGCCTGTTTTTTTCACAGGTGCCACCTCAACTAATTAAGTTTATTTTTACCAACATACTTAAACGTTTCAGAAATGTATATATATCCATGTGTTATTAATATATTTTTTATTATTAACATTAGCATTTTATTATTATATAACATTATGTATTTATTTATTTATTTTACAAAAATAGCGACTTATTTTTTTATTTTATTTTTTACAACATATGGTTTTAATTTAAAATAATTGCTGGAAGTTCTGCAGTTAAGTTATTAGGCTAAATATAATTTAATTATATAATTGTGTTATGGGTTAAAATTCCATTTAAAACTTGCCATTGTAATGTTGATATGTCAAAAAAAGTAGTTGCTCACAAAAATCTTTCTTGTCATGTTTGTGCTGTTAAATAATTTAGTATTCTTCTCTTCTAGAGATTTTTTTCAACGTGATATTAAAGCCAATATGAAATTAAAGTTAACCCTACTTCATTTATTTCACATTGTTTTGCATTATTTATGTTTGTTTTCATTATTGTTAACATTTTATTTTTATTTAATCTCATTCTTAATTTCCCCTCAGTAGCTATGTTTCCATCCAAAGATTCGAATTAAACTTATGCACAAAACTGGAATATCGCATAAAACATATGCGAATAAAGCACCGTTTCCATCCAATGAGTCAAAGAGAACAAAATCGTCACTTCCTGGTAAACTGTGGCACTAAATATCACTAAGAATTTAGGAGAAGCCACTGAATATAATAATTTTCATATATGATATAAATTACTTGCACCTCAGAGTGAGCAGACAAAACACAATAAATGCTGTCAATGCTTTCGGAGGTGGATGCTGCTGTTTGGGAATGCAGTCGTGTTACAATTATACAGAAATACTTTGACGACAGACTTTGCTCAGGCATTTCAGAATGACCATAACAACATATAGATGCTGTGAACGAGATCGGTCCGCTGCTAGTCAAGTTATCCCGTCTCATAGCGCAAAGTCACATGACTTTTTCAATGCGCATGAAGGAATTTATTTGGTAAATGTGTTTCCATCGTAGTTTATGCACATTTTTAGAATTTATGCGCATCTTGGCGTTTCTATCCAGCGTTTTTTTTATGCGATATTCCAAAATGCACATAAAAATAGGTGGATGGAAACGCAGCTAGTGTAAACTACTTTTTCTTTCACATTTATTTTGATTTCTAGAATATATTTAAACATGGTAAGTGGAGCTGAGAACACTACACTCTTATTGGTAGTTCTTGCTCTGTTCTGGTATGAAACTCAGAAATACGTCACACCACAGAGTTAAAATGGGATGCGAATGCCGTTTCGTGTCGATGCTGAGGAAGTGTGGAGTGGACTCTGACCGAGCTTCTAATGGCTCTATTGTTTGTGTTTGTGTTTCAGATCAACTTGAGGCTCATCTTGGTGAGTGGAAAAACAAAAGAGTTCCTGTTCTCGCCAAACGACTCCGCGGCCGACATCGCCAAGCATGTGTACGACAACTGGCCAATGGGTGCGTGATGATTCACATCTTGAAATACACATTTGTTTTAATGTGTCCCCTCAGTAGACTGAAACGGTTGGCTCGTGTGAAGGATTTTCAGGCTATTGTTTCAAGGCATTGAGTAGATTCCTCTTTACATCCTTTTTCTGTGTTCAGATAATCTGTGCCGCAGACAAATCTGAGTCTGACCGAGTGGTAATCCTGCGCAGAGCTAGATTCCACTCACTGTATGCTGACCTAAAGTCAATGACAGTACTGAAGGGTAAAAACAGAGCGTCTGAGTTTGTGTTTATACATCTGTCTGGCCGCATGTGTCTGAGGTCTGTGAAGTGGGGTTTTCATTCAAATTTTCCACAGATACTGTTCTAGCTGAATCTGTAGGTTATTATACACACATACTGCTGCCTCTGGTTTTTAGGGAAGAGCAGATGGTATCCAGACTCCTCTTTCATCTGTTTCTGCACTGTGCCTTGGCAGCCCATCAGAAATGACAAGTGCTTTCAGGGATGTGGCCACAAGCTCAAGTTTAGCATTTTTCCATCTGATTCATCTCTAAAAAAATACTGTGGCGGTACCATGGTGCTGTGACAGTATGATACCATAGTATTTTGATATTTACACTATTGGTCAAAAGTTTGGGGTTGGTAAGATTATTTAAATGTTTTGGAAAGTCTCTTATGCTCACCAAAGCGGCTTTTATTTGATCAAAAATACAGTAAACACAGTAAAATTGTAACGTATTATTATTACCATATAAAATAACTGTTTTCTTTTATGAAGTATTTTAAAATGCAGCATCATTACTCCAGTCTTTAGTGTCTCATGATCCTTCAGAAATCATTCTAATATGCTGATCTGGTGGTCAAGAATGATCAATGTTGGAAAACTTGACGTGTAATATTTCTGTGGAAAATGTGATGCATGTTTTCAGGGTTCTTTGATGAATTGAAAGTTAAAAGAACAGCATTTATTTGATACAGAAATATATATATATAAATATATATAAAATAATTAAAAAATAAAATTACTCTCAATTTTTTAACATTTAGTGCACATGACATATTCATATCCATATTCACGTATTTATATGGTACTCCAAGGACGCCCCCCCC